AAGGGTATAATAGTCATTTTGACTTTTGGGAAGAGCGGGTGTAACATTTCCTCCACCCTTATAAAAATTTCGTCCCCGAAATTTGATCGGGCTCATCCTTCTCGTGCTTCTTTGCCTCAAGATTTCACTCTTTCTATATGAACTTCAATGGCGTGCCCTTACCTTGTCTTGAATAGCTTACAATAGTTCTTATATGTACTCTTGACCATAACATGTATTCTCATCTAGCTTGGTAGCATCAAATAGGTTTGAGTGACTCATTGCCCTTTTCAAAATTCTCCAACTTGGCCTGAGGGTGTGATGGGACAAAATTTCGGCGACAAAATTTCGGGTCAATTTATTTGGTCCAACTGATTCAGTACTTGATGTTGAACCTATCGAACATTTCCTCCCCACTTATAGAATTTTCGCCCTTGAAATTGTCCACTATGATTACCCTAAGCATCGATTGTGGCAATCCTTTTCACTTCGCGGATTTTTATTTCCTTTAACTTATACGACATGACCTAAAATCCTTCTCTCCATTCCCTGCAACTTCAATGTTGTTGTGGCTTCTTAACCCCTCACACCACCTAGTCTGCACCTATACATGAGGAGTTAATGCCCCTCTACAACCACAAGGTCACTGATGGCGGCTTATCTTCCATCTAGTCAGATGGTAAAACCCTTTTAACGTAACTCTCGTCTAGGGTTGACCTCATAGGTCACCTAGGTCCTTGTATCTTCTAACTTTGCATCCCTTACTTTCCTCCTTGATGCCACGTCTTATCTTTTAACCATAAACTGAGTAGTCGTCTTCTTGTTACTTCTTGCCTAACTCTGAAACCTCATACTACTGCTTCGACTTTCTGTATGCATTAGAGGCATCCTTTGCATCTTTCTCTAGCTTGCGCTCAACTTTATGACTTCTTTCCAGAATCATGACCTTCCATTTTGAGTACTTTTTCACTCATGGAGCCTAACTTAACACTTCCTTATCACCGTTTAACTTGGGAGTTCTCGTACGATCTCTTCTATTGTTCTTTGACCTTGCCTGAAATTCCTCGTACAGTTTCCCCGTCCAAGAAATTTTCACACGAGAGATCGCCACATTTCACCCTCATAGGTGGTATGGCTTTCACTTTAGGGTATCCTAGCAGGTTCGCTAAACTCATATCCATCTTACTTCTTTACTCGTGACTCCTCTTACCGATGTTTCTCGCTAGTTCTATAAGTCCCTCGTCCTTGATGTAGTCATCTTGGTGCCCATATTCTCTTCTCACTTATGTACCTTGACCGATAAGGTTTTCCCTTCGACCGTTCTGGACCACCACATTTCTACTTTAAAGTTGACCATTGAGCTTCTCCGTTCTTGATGGGCTTCCTCTGGTCCAACTTATTCTCCACTGGCAATCACCATAATGCCTCCTTGTTGACCTTCGTATTCTTTCGCCGGCTCTTCCTAAGTATCTTTCTCCCTGAATTTGTCGTTTTATCAACTACCAACCTTTTCACCATAACTTTCATTATAGCTTGTGGTTTCCTCCTTACTTCCACAACTCCTTCATCAGTGCTTGGTACTAGCTTTGATCTACTCAGTTTAGTAGCTCCTCGCCATACCTCAGAGCCAACATTTCCACTAGAAACTTTCTCTAGGTAGACTTGACAGATGACACCCACGACTTCTACTCACGATGGTACTTGACCACGTCCCAACTATCTTCCTTCGCGCATTCATTGTCCAGTCGACAACCACTTTTTTTATTTCCTATAGCGTGCTATGGTGTTCTTCTTGATTTTTACTTTTACTACCCTTCTGTTGGTGCTATGTACTATTTTCGGTCACCAAACTCTGTTGAGTATCTTCTCGTTGTTGTTTTGGGTCAAAGCTTCCAATAGTGGCTTGCCCGAGGTAGGCTTGAACATACCTCATCCACGTCTTTTGTCTCGACCGATACTTGTACATAGCCTTAATCTCTTAGTCATGGCTCTTAGTGGCTTAACTAAATATCACTAATTTATCCTTAACTGGCCTTCTTTTATGGATGACATCCTATTATGTCGTACTCGCTCAGAGTGGGGCACCTTGGGTAAGGTAACTTAATGATTTCCTCCTTCTTGGTAATTCTTTTCCTCGTCGTACTCCACTATGCATTTTCTTGAACACGAGTCACCTACACATATTCTCAATCCTTCATCGGAACTTCCATGTGTTTCCTCGAATTCTCTCCATTCACTAGAACATTTATTGAACATTCCACTTATTTGTCTACACTCGGTTGGCTTAATGACTTACTCTATAGCTAGTTCTGAGACCTCAGCTCTTGGCCCTCTAGTTCCAACTTAGTAGAGAGGTTCCTCCTTCTATTACTCCTCATGTACCCTAGGAGGCTAGGTGTTCCCTCTATTTAAAGAGAGGACAATCCCATAATAGATCATCGTGAACTCTTGCATACCCCTTCCAACGGTCCCAACATCCTCCTGACCTTTTGTGACCTGGGTAGTTTGTAGGGTCTCTACTATCCTCCTTCTAACTCGGTGTTATCTTGGTATCCAACTCACACACTTCTGAGAAGTGGTTCTCTATTCGTACTGCCATCTACTAGCTAAATATTATTCTCTCTCACAATCCATGTCTTTTCTTATGTATTGACTCCCCGCTGTCTTCTACCAGGCATGCTTTAGACTTTGGTGGCACTTTCCTCCACATCTGGTCCAATGGTGCTCGTACTGACACCATAACTTTCCCTCTACATCATTTATCTGGTTGCTTGTCTTGTTCCTTCTAAAGGCTTTTCATCGGCCTACCTCCCCAGGGTTACGTACCCTCTTCTCCAGTTACGTAGTTTATCTATAAGGTTTCCTTCATCTTCATATGTAAACGACCATGCCTCCTCTCCTTCTGAAACTTTTGACTTTTGACGTCCTTTCAGACCCCCCCCTCTAACCTACTTATTTCCTCTTTTACCTCATTTATACTACCCTAGCTTGTCTTGAAGTCTAAGCTTTCCACTACTCCTTGTCATTGGTTTGTAATAGTATCAGCCACTAAGATCAATTGAGTGGTTCGTCGTGGAACCTCTACTTTTCTTGACTTGTTGCCTCCTCGCCACTGCTTAGGGTCAAGAACCCTGAAATCCTCTAATCAATATAGCTACTGCCATCTAGTGATTGTAGATCTTTTTTCAGAGATTCATAGTTCTCCTATTTGTTTGCTTTTTCTTATTAGATCCTCTCCTTGCTACCTAGTAGTAGAATCCTCGTACTACTCCTCCAACTCCTTCAAAATCCTGGAGGTATTCCCTTACGATTGGAACCTCTTCTATTAGAACTTTAGTTATTTACCTTAATACGATTAGAGTAGACTTGAGATTCTATAGACTCTTAAAAGAAGACACTTGACTCGTTTTCCTTTCCTTTAAAACAAAACCTTTAAAACTAGGACCGACATTCCAGTATTTCTTGGGAACCAAGAAACAGAGGAAGACCGGCTTTGATACCAAAATGTAACACCCTAACCCGGTCGGGTACTACTTTTACTAAAATGCCCTTGATAAATAAAATAATCAAATCTTAAATTGTAGCGGGAAAAATTTTCATAAATAAAATACTGAAAAAAACACTTGTAGTTCAGAGCAAAACCCTAACACGTGGGCAACTTAAACTCAAACTTTAAATCTCAATCTGATCTCCAGTCTATACTCATAATCATAAAATGAAAATAACTAAGTAGTCTCTGTCGTTACTGCTAGTGAAAATCTTAACTAGGCATCCTCCGTGACGCTTGCACCACCCTCCTCTAGCTGGTTGCCCTCGAACTTTTACTATCGAACTCGCTGCTCTCTAAGTGCTCCTCTAGCTAGCTACTACCGATCTGGCTCTCGCTCATTCCCTTACTAAGGCCTGGTGAGTGAGTTGGGGTCAGTCTACGCCCTTACGTTTTAATACTTCTAATACTTGAGTACTTTACTTAAACACTTAACTTTAACTAGTGGAAGTTGTTTGTAACCTCCAATCTTGAAATCTTAACTCTTAAACTTTGAGGGAGTTGAAGTTACTCTCCTCTCTTAAAGCTCAAATCTTGACTTAAATTTTTTGACTGACATGGGGATCCCTCACTAGCTAGTCCGGTTGCCAACTCATACGTATGAGCAGCCATCAAGGCTTTCCTTAAACTTAAACTTAGTTAGGGGAGTCGTAACGATTCATCCCCCTAACATCTTAAACTTATCGTGGTGTCTCTTCACCACGATTCTCAAGAGCATAACTGCTGCTCATCTTAAAAGTCTCAAGAGCATAACTGCTGCTCTATCTCAAAGATCTCAAGATCATAACTGCTGCTCTATCTGAAAATCTAAAATGGCGACGGACTGGCACTAGTGACTAAAAACACTTAAAACGGCTTCACCTTCTTGAAGGTGAGTTACTTCTTAAAAAGAACTTGTTTCTTAAACTTTAACAATAACTCAAACATAACGCTTTAAGATAAATAGCACAAAATCACCTCAAATCATAGCTCAAGCAAAGCATAAATAATCCATCATAGACATAACCAAGCAACGGTAACCAATTCGCTAAAATACTTAAAATCATAATACTTAAAAGAATATGTAAGGCGTAGAATTTACCCCCTTTACACTCACCTTACTATGTAGCTAAAATCCATCGGCTTCATGAACTAGGTACTCCAAAAGATGTCATGGAATAGCTTAGCATTTAATCGACGACGCTCCCCGATCAACTCCATTCGTCTCGGCCGCCAAAAATCAACCGCAACAAATCGCCCAAGCCATGTTAAAGCACCTCCATATTTACTTATCCATTTCACTTGATATCCCTCTATGAAGTAATCAAATGCGAGTAGTGTAGGTAACATACCCAAAACCATACGCTTCTGCAATTTTTCGCTTGTTGGTGGAATTTATGGAGAGCGGCCACGTTTTGGATTTGGCCCTGCTCGTATCCAAATCCTTTTCCACTGACTCCTTATTTCGGCATTCTTGCTTAAATAGGAAGCGGGACATCAATAATGTCAATTCTCCCTGGTCCGTTGTTGAAATCGTAAGCAGGCAGCTGACGTAGTAGCGAGGCAGGCATGTCCATTATCGATCAGGCACGTCCATTGTCCGAAGCAGGTAGGTCTATGTAAGCACCTGACATAGTAGAGAGAAGGTCGTCTATTATCAATCAGGCACGTCCATTATAATGCAGGCAGATCTAAGCAAACGCCTGACATGGCAGAGAGAAATGTCGTCCATTACCAAAGCAGGCACTTCCATTATCCGAAGCAGACAGGTTTACGTAAGCACCTGCCATAGCAGAGAGGTGCATGGAGTGGGCACGTGCATTGTGAAGCAGACGGCTCTCACAAAGCGAATCGCCGCCGCAGCTTTCGCCTCTCGCAATAGAAGAGCTAACAAGGAACCCGATCCCGCTTGCCTCGTAGTAACGGGGACGATTCATCTTCCTCCCCGGGAACAAGCTGCTCTCGTAGTAGCGGGGACGATGCCTCTTCGTCTTCTTCCTCGCAAGCAAGCTGGTGTCGTAGTAGCGGGGCTGATTTTGCTCTATCTCCCTCGTCCATAATGCCGCTTTGCCAAGTGGCTTTCGGAGAAGTTACTGCCGCGAGGGTTTTTCCATTGGGGTGAGCCCGAGTGGGGTAGAATAAAAGTCTAGGGTTTTAGTTAGTCCAAGGTTATTTGTGGAAATTCAAACTTGCTGGTGAGTTTAATGCGAAACTCAATTATTGTCCGTAACTTTCTCATTTCATGTCGAAATTCGACACCAATCCTCATCGATAAAACGGTGGGACTTGACCCAAGGGTATAATAGTCATTATGACTTTTGGGAAGAGCGGGTGTAACATTTCCACCACCCTTATAAAGATTTCGTCCCCAAAATTTGATCGGGCTATCCTTTCATACTCCTCATTCTCGTGCTTCTTTGGCTCAAGATATCACTCTTTCTATATGAACTTCAATGGCGTGCCCTTACCTTGTCTTGAATAGCTTACGATAGGTCTTATATGTACTCTTTACCAATACATATAATCTCATCTAGCTTGGTAGCATCAAATAGGTTTGAGTGACTCATTGCCCTTTTCAAAATTCTCCAACTTGGCCCCAGGGTGTGATGGGACAAAATTTCGGCTCAATTTATTTGGTCCAACTGATTCAATACTTGATGTTGAACCTACCGAAGTCGAGGTATCACATTTCCTCCCCACTTATAGGAATTTCGCCCTTGAAATTTGTCCACTGTGATTACCCTAAGCATCGCTTGTGCTAATCCTTTTCACTTCGCAGATTTTTATTTCCTTTAACTTATACGACATGACCTAAAATCCTTCTCTCCATTCCCCGCAACTTCAATGTTGTTGTGGCTTCTTAACACCTCACACCACCTAGGTTGTACCTATACATGAGAAGTTAATGCCCCTCTCCAACCACAAGGTCACTGATGGCGCTTATCTTCCATCTAGTCAGATGGTAAAACCCTTTTAACGTAACTCTCGTATAGGGTTGACCTCATAGGTCACCTAGGTCATTGTATATTCTAACTTTGCATCCCTTACTTTCCTCCTTGATGCCACGTCTTATCTTTTAACCATAAACTGAGTGGTCATCTTCTTGTTACTTCTTGCCTAACTCTGAATCCTCATACTACTGCTTCGACTTTCTGTATGCATTAGAGGCATCCTTTGCATCTTTTTCTAGCTTGCGCTCAACTTTATGACTTCTTTCCATAATCATGACCTTCCATTTTGAGTACTTTTTCACTCATGGAGCCTAACTTAACACTTCCTTATCACCGTTTAACTTGGGAGTTCTCGTATGATCTCTTCTATTGTTCTTTGACCTTGCCTGAAATTCCTCGTAAAGTTTCCCCGTCCAAGAAATATCACACGAGAGATCGCCACATTTCACCCTCATAGGTGGTATTGCTTTCACTTTAGGGTATACTAGCAGGTTTGCTAAACTCATATACATCTTACTTCTTTACTCGTGACTCCTCTTACCGATGTTTCCAGCTAGTTCTATATGTCCCTCGTCCTTGATGTAGTCATCTTGGTGCCCATATTCTCTTCTCACTTATGTTACCTTGACCGATAAGGTTTTCCCTTCGACCGTTCTGGACCACCACACTTCCACTTTTAAGTTGACCATTGAGCTTCTCCGTTCTTGATGGGCTTCCACTAGAAACTTTCTCTAGGTAGACTTGACAAATGACACGCACGACTTCTACTCACGATGGTACTTGATTACGTCCCAACTATCTTCCTTCACGCATTCATTGTCCAGTCGACAACCACCTTTTTTTATTTCCTATAGCGTCCTATGGTGTTCTCTTTTCTTCTTTACTTTTACTACCCTTCTGTTGGTGATTTGGACTATTTTCGGTCACCAAACTCTGTTGAGTATTGATAAGCCGTTAATTGCAATGTTTTTACCCCATTCTGGAGCCGTTTGAGGTGTTGATTGTCGTGTTTTAGGCCGATTTCACGCTAGGTTGTGTTTGTTTGTGATATTTCAGGTCCTGGCAAGTGAATGAAGGTTTAGGAGCGAGTTCGGGGTCGATTGGACGAAGATCGGGCACGAGGCAAGTCTCAAAGGAAGCCACATGGGCACACACACAACTCACACGGCCGTGCAAGTGACCAAGGAGGCCGTGTGGGATTGTGCGAGCCTTCAGACGGGCACAAGTAAAATTCACACGGCCGTGTGAAGTTGCAGTTTGGCCGTGTGGAATTCTGCGAGGCTTCACACGGCCAGGCTGGGTGAGCTACACGGCCGTGTGCCCCTGGCCGTGTGGGAAGCCTAAAACCCAATTACTCAGAACGCGGCGTTTTGACATCACACGGGCAACTGGGTATGCCACACGGCCGTGTGGCCTGCCCGTGTGAGTCGTGAATTTCTGGTTTTTACCCAATTTCGGGCTGCAAGTGAGAGGATCGGATTTTCAGAGCAAAAACAGAGCCCTAGAGAGAGAAAGTACAAAGAACACATCCTAGAAGCTATCTTGGAGCTGGGTTTCATCAAATCGAGCTTGGAGATCGTCATAGGAGTGGAAATCATCATCCCAGAGCAGATTCTTCCCATTGTTATGAGTATGATTGCTTTGTATTCTGTTTTCCCCTCTCTCTCTATGGAGTAGAAACCATCTCTCACTTGGGTATGAAGAACCCTAGTTCCATGTGTTAGGGATTTGATTGTAATGACTTGGGATGATTATACTGTTTGGTTTTAATAGAATGATGCATGTTATAGAGTCAATTGAAGTGTGATTAGCTTTTCCTGATTTCTGCTGCAACCTGAGATAGATAGAATCTGATTAGGTTGTTAGAGCCTCATCATTCGGTAGTAGGAGATTGGCTATACGAGAGTTAGCCAGTTTACTGCTTTGTACTGGAATTGAATTCCAGTAGTGGAGTTCTGTGCTTATTGCTTCAGCTTTCTATCCCGGTGAAGACTAGTCGTCTGCCGGGTAGTTGGACGGAGAGGGCTTGGTCAGCTTAAGAGATTCCAAGCTACTGTCGGATCTTCCGCAGTCTAATCAACAGTAAATCAACCCAGGGAAAATACAATTGAAACCTAACTAAGGAGCTAGGGGGACTCATTCCCGAGTGACTCTTCTTTGCTTGAGAAAACCGTACCAATTCCTGCTTTCTTTCTGCTTTTGCTTAAAACAACAATCACTTGACTTAGTTGGCTAGATAATAGATACTCACGGAGTAAGCAGTAGATCTAAACCCCGGGTTGATAATAGAACTTGCCACTTTACTGCATTCCCGGACTGCGATTACACTTGGTCGCAGTTTGGTGTTGTGTTTTGGCGTGTCAAGTATCTTCTCGTTGTTGTTTTTGGTCAAAGCTTCCAATAGTGACTTGCCCTTGGTAGGCTTGAACATACCTCAACCACGTCTTTTGTCTGACCGATGCTTGTACATAGCCTTAATGTTTTAGTGATGGCTCTTAGTGGGTTAACTAAATATCACTAATTTATCCTTAACAGGCCTTCTTTTATGGATGACATCCTACTATGTCGTACTCGCTCAGAGTGGGGCACCTTGGGTAAGGTAACTTAATGATTTCCTCCTTCTTGGTAATGCTTTTACTCATCGTACTCCACTATGCATTTTCTTGAACACGAGTCACCTACACATATTCTCAATCCTTCATCGGAACTTCCATGTGTTTCCTCGAATTCTCTCCATTCACTAGAACATTTATTAAACATTCCACTTACTTGTCTACACTCAGTTGGCTTAATGACTTACTCTATAGCTAGTTCCAAGACCTTAGCTCTTAGCCCTCTAGTTCCAACTTAGTAGAGAGGTTCCTCCTTCTGTCACCCCTCATGTGCCCTAGGAGGCTAGGTGTTCCCTCGATTTAAGAGAGGACAATCCCATAATAGATCATCGTGAACTCTTGCATACCCCTTCCAACGGTCCCAACATCCTCCTGACCTTTTGTGACCTGAGTAGTTTGTAGGGTCTCTACTATCCGCCTTCTAACTCGGTGTTATCTTGGTATCCAACTCACACAACTTCTGAGAAGTGGTTCCCTATTCTTACTTCCATCTACTAGCTAACTGTTATTCTCTCTCACAATCCTTGTCTTTTCTTATGTATTGACTCCCCGCTGTCTTCTACCAGGCATGCTTTAGACTTTGGTGGCACTTTCCTCCACATCTCGTCCAATGGTGCTCGTACTGAGACCATAACTTTCCCTCTTCTCTTCTTGACTTTTTACCTCCTCGCCACTGCTTAGGGTCAAGAACCCTGAAATCCTCTAATCATTATAGCTACAGCCATCTAGTTATTGTAGATCTTTCTTCGGAGATTCATAGTTCTCCTATTTGTTTGCTTTTGCTTATTAGATCCTCTCCTTGCTGCCTAGTAGTAGAATCCTCGTACTACTCCTCCAACTCCTTCAAAATCCTGGAGGTATTCCCTTACGATTGGAACCTCTTCTATTAGAACTTTAGTTATTTACCTTAATACGATTAGAGTAGACTGGAGATTCTATAGACTCTTAAAAGAGGACACTTGACTTGTTTTCCTTTCCTTTAAAACAAAACCTTTAAAACTGGGACTGACATTCCAGGATTTCTTGGGAACCAAGAAACAGAGGAAGACCGGCTCTGATACCAAAATGTAACACCCTAACCCGGCCGGGTACTACTTTTACTAAAATTCCCTTGATAAATAAAATAATCAAATCTTAAATTGCAGCGGGAAAAATTTTCATAAATAAAATACTGAAAACAAACACTTGTAGTTCAGAGCAAAACCCTAACACGTGGGCAAATTAAACTCAAACTTTAAATCTCAATCTGATCTCCAGTCTATACTCATAATCATAAAATGCAAATAACTAAGTAGTCTCTGTCGTTGCTGCTGCTGAAAATCTTAACTAGGCATCCTCCGTGACGCTTGCACCGCCCTCCTCTAGCTGGTTGCCCTCGAACTTTTCCTCTCAAACTCGCTGCTCTCTAAGTGCTCCTCTAGCTAGCTGCTACCGATCTGGTTCTCGCTCATTCCCTTAATAAGGCCTGATGAGTGAGTTGGGGTCAGTCTACGCCCTTACGTTTTAATACTTCTAATACTTGAGTACTTTACTTAAACACTTAACTTTAACTAGTGGAAGTTGTTTGTACCTCCAATCTTGAAATCTTAACTCT